GCCAAACACAGCAGAATGCTACAATATGCATTCCCTGTTCCCTGACAACTAAATATCACCTACATTATGCCATCAATGCACACCAACAAATGTATTCAAGCAGAAGAAACCAGACAACTTATGTTTTATTTTTGACCATGTCTTCTCCTCTCCTTGAAAAGTGAAGCAAGGGAATGAGGAGCAGCAGCCTTTGTGTGCGCATGCACCCTCAGTTTTAGCCCAGAAGAGTAGAAGTTACTTAATATATTCGTTTATGTGCTGTCCAGAAAAAAGCACTTAAATATTACTGGTAAAATAATATTAGCATTTACTTTTTTTGTACAGTAATATTGATATATAATATAATGTGTATTGTTTATTTAGTAAATTCTAGTAGTTTAGAAATTTTGGTATTTTTTGTAAAATTTAAAAGAATAATTAAATAAATGTTACTACACCCAAAAATCCTTTTTTTTTTCAGTGTACATGCAACACTTGCGTCTCGCCAGTATACTGACAAAGTTGTAAAGCTCTCAAAAGAACTGGTGGATCATTGTTAGGAAGGATAAACACTGGAGCACAATCAAAAAGGATTCATTCATGGCTCGTGCTTTTAACCATATTGCAACGTTTATAACGTTTGCTTTAATGGGCTCCATCTGAGCCTTTATTGTTTACATAATTCACCCCCTCTTTTACGCACAGTTTTGCATCGGGCTTCATTTGCATTTACACAGGCTAAATAAGAGGAGAGCACATAATCTCTTAAACAGCGCAGGTGAGACATTCAAACCCCACAGGTCTTCTAAAAAATCATCCCAGCCCAGGGAGAACAGCAAAAGACAAAGAGCCGGCAGAAACCAGCGGCTGCATAAAACAACCGCAACATGTGCTGAATGTCTTCCAAAGCTACAAGCCTCATTGCTGCTGTAAGTGTCGAGTAAAAAAGGTTGCAGCCTTGCTCACCGTGGGTATCTGCTGCCATTATTTTCAGTGTCAGTGGGATATGAATACGAGTCCTGCCTTGATGTGGTGCTGTGGGAGAAGAGGACGGCCATGTTGCAAGGCTACGAATTGGATGCCTCCAACATGGGAGGGTGGATGTTAGACAAACACCACATATTGGACATTCAGAATGGTAAGCAAAGTGCTCGTCTTTACAGTATTTGTGTGTGYGTGTGTCAGTGTTTGTGTGGCTGTGGGGCAGAGATAGGTGCCTCTTTGAGTTACAGGCAGGTGGTCTTTACCYTGAATCACCGCGGTAAAGGCTTGAATCAGAATGAAATATGGTTCGTCATCCCATCTGGAGATAATAGAGGAGAGTTTTGAAGGGCCGATCACTCACAGTAATGACTGAATAAATCAGTTTGTAAGTCACCGGGGTGCAGGGCTTGCTGCGATTCAACACCACTCAGCTATTTTAGGAAGAAAATGGTCTTTTGCCTCTCGCGAACGGCTCACGCATCCGACGAAGAGTCGTCACATTTCTCTCCTGCATCAGTTCAATAAACATAATTAGATCCTCGCTTCGTCATCAATCAGATTCTTTGTAATCAGCAAGTACAATAAATGGACATGAGCTGGTCTTTGTCGAGCTGACAYGGGGACATGGGGAAGCGAAACAGACATAATGAAACAATCAAATGCAAATGCGGCCGAGTCACCGCCGGGTTACGGCACCATGAGGTCACAGTTGATAATCTGAGGAATTCAGCCGGCACTCTGTTTAAGGGTTTCACTGTGCTGCTGCTGTGGAGGCAGTAATATGACTGCAGTTCTAAGAAGTACGCCTCAGGGCCTCTGGCTGGTGTGCATTGTCAGTTTTTCAGACCGCTGTTTTGACATTAAACCCTCTACGGTGCACAATCGTTGTTCCAGTTGTCCAACACAATTTGTGTCCCTTTCATCTCGAAAATAGTCGAGGTCGGCCCRTAGTCAAATTGGAGTATGTGAATAGATTTTTTGGTTTTCATTGACTGGGCTGCGTATGATTCATGTCTGCTTTGTTTTGTCTAGTATTTTACATTTCTATCTCTTACAGTAGGCTCTGTATAGTGTAGGTTTTTAGTGAAATCATTTGTAAACATGAACAAATGCAATTAAAACCCACAAATGAATCACTTTCAGGTGGCCTAAAGAAATAAATGAGAGTCCTTCTGCTTGACTGGGACTTATTACAATATAGAGACCTTGGACAAATGCACTAAGTGAACTAATTGTAGATTTCTGCTGGATTTTTGCATCTTCTTTAATTCTGGGTGCACTCTAATGTGTTGTTTCAAGGTTGTTGTATTTTTTTACATTTTGAGACATTTCTGATTCAGAAGCGTATGTTTTAAAAAAGGTGGAGGGACTATGTTTCTCGGCTGGCCTGGGAACGACAGAGGAGCTGGCCCAAGTGGCTGGGGAGAGGGAAGTCTGGGTCTCTCTCATTGACTTGAATAAGATCACTAGACTGAGCCCCACCCATACCGTCCACTGGTAGCCTCTGTGACAGCATGGAGGAGCAGAAATGGCGTCCAAAAAGGGCAACAGCTCACAGCCACCATGGAAACTAATAGATAAACAACAAAAAGAAAAAATTGTATAGG